CTACAGTAGAGGGAAGAACATAACATAGGAACATAAGAATGGAAGAGAATGGCAGTAGGCCTACTAGCTCATGTGAGCCAGGTCCTTCTCAAACCCAACCCAACTCATTAATACATTACTCCCACCTATTTTAAAAGTTACCTATTTTAAAGTTATAATACTACAGTGGACCCTCGCATTGCGCTATTAATCCGTTCCTGAGAGCTCAATGTTATGCGAAATTATCGTTAGGCGAATTAATTTTCCCCATAAGAAATAATGGAAATCAAATTAATCCGTGCAAGACACCCAAAAGTATGAAAATTTTTTTTTTTTTACCACTTGAAATATTAATTTTAATACACACAAACTGAAGAAGACATGCACAGTTACATGACACTTACCTTTATTGAAGATCTGGTGATGATTGATGGGATGGGAGGAGGGGAGAGTGTTGATGGTCTTAGTGTTTAGAAGGGGAATCCCCTTCCATTATGACTTGAGGTGTCAAGTCCTTTTCCGGGGTTACTTCCCTTCTTCTTTTAATGCTACTAGGACCAGCTTGAGAGTCACTGGACCTCTGTCGCACAACATATCTGTCCATAGAGGCCTGTACCTCTCGTTCCTTTATGACTTTCCTAAAGTGGTTCACAACATTGTCAGTGTAATAGTCACCAGCACGGCTTGCAACAGCTGAGTGAGGGTGATTTTCATCAAAAAAGGTTTGCACTTTAAGCCACATTGCACACATTTCCTTAATCTTTGAAGTAGGCAACTTCTTCAATTTCTCTATCCCCTCCTCTTAAGCAGTTTCCTCAGGTGTGGCCTCTTACTGTTGAAGATGATCTAGCAGCTAATCAGTGGTTAGTTCTTCATTGTCCTCCTCCACCAACTCTTCCACATCCTCCCCACTAACCTCACCAATATGAGCACTAGTTCCAGGCATTTTTTCTGTTCACCTGGGTGTTAGTCAACTGTTGTGGGTCGCATCCTGGGGGACAAGATTAAGGACCCCAATGGAAATAAGTTAGACAGTCCTCGATGATGCACTGACTTTCTTGGGTTATCCTGGGTGGCTAACCCTCCGGGGTTAATCGTTTCTCGGTAATTGTTTCACGTTAAGCCACACCAACAACACTCTCTCCACATCTTCGAGTAATACAGCTGATGGTGGTGCAGCAACAACAGCATCTGACTGTGGTGCAGCAACAGCTGACCATGGTGCAGCAGCAGCTGTGGTGGTGCAGCAGCAGCTGTGGTGGTGCAGCAGCAGCTGTGGTGCCACAACAGCTGACCATGGTACAGCAGCAGCTGTGGTGCAGCAGCAGCAGCTGTGGTGCAGCAACAGCTGACCATGGTGCAGCAGCAGCTGTGGTGCAGCAGCAGCTGTGGTGCAGCAACAGCTGACTGGTCCAATAACAGCTGACCGTGGTGCAGCAGCAGCTGACTGTGGTACGATAGTATTTATCACCCTTTTTACCACAGGGTTGGCACTAGAAGCTTTCTTTGGGCCCATGGTGGCTTATTTAGCAGTTACAAGCACTATAAATAATGGAATAATACAAAATGTATCGAATGTATGCATGCAACCGGCCACCCTGGCTTGTAAACAATAACAGCAAGGCAGGCGCTCAGGCTGGATGGACAGGTTCGGGACGAGTCATGTTCAGAAACAGCTGATGGTGGTGAAACAGCAGCTGACCGTGGTGCAGCAGCAGCTGGCTGAACCAGCAGCAGCTGACTGGTCCAGCAACAGCTGACTGACCCAGCAACAGCTGATTGGTCCAGCAACAGCTGACCGATCCAGCAACAGCTGACTGGTCCAGCAACAGCTGAACGTGGTGCAGCAGCAGCTGACTGATCCAGCAACAGCTGACTGATCCAGCAACAGCTGACTGGTCCAGCAACAGCTGATCGTGGTGCAGCAGCAGCTGACTGATCCAGCAACAGCTGACTGGTCCAGCAACAGCTGATCATGGTGCAGCAGCAGCTGACTGATCCAGCAACAGCTGACTGGCCCAGCAACAGCTGAACGTGGTGAAGCAGCAGCTGAACGTGGTGAAGGAGCAGCTGACTGGTCCAGCAACAGCTGATCGTAGTGCAGCAGCAGCTGACTGATCCAGCAACAGCTGACTGGTCCAGCAACAGCTGACCGTGGTGCAGCAACAGCTGACCGTGGTGCAGCAGCAGCTGACTGTGGAATGATAGTTTTTCTCACCCTTTTTACCACAGGGTTAGCACTAGAAGCTTTCTTGGGGCCCATGGTCACTTATTTTGCAGATGAAATCACCAAAAACGCTGTAATAATATGAAATGTTCCAATTGTATGCTTGGATGTTACCGCGGAGGCTGGCTTGTAAACAATGCCACCTGCGGAACATGTGAGGCTGGCTCAGGCCGCACATTAGACACGTCTCGGACAAATAGCATTGAGCGAGTTTTTTAGTGGTATGCGAGGCAAATTTTTAGTGATAAAATGTATCGGTATGCGGATTTAACGTTATGTGATGCCAACGGTATGCGAGGGTCCACTGTATTACTAAGATATGTATTTTCTTATATCCCTCAGAAACCTAAATTTATCAACTTCTAACCAATGTTGTACATTCTTACTTGGTTTGATATTATTAGTATCCAATTTACATATCAATTGTTGGAACCTGCCCTGCACTTGTATGAAGTATACAGGTGAAGACATCATTCAAGAGACAGGAGATTCACAGCTCTCAAATTATCTTCCTATGTAAGATTCCTTATAAAGTAAAATAATTTTTGTCATCTTAATCTGTATGTTCTCCAATACATTAATATTCATTCTGTAGTATAAACACCAGACCTAAGCTCCATAATTTAAGTGATGCCTTATTGATGATATATAAACCTGTATAATAACCTTTCGACACCTGTTACTTATGATTCTTCACATCAATCAAATTACATGTTTTGCTTGCTTTGTGTGGTTTTGCTTTGTGCAAATTTACTTATGTGCCGCAATGCCATTTCTATCAGTAATCTACAATATGTGCTAAGTATTCACTCTTGAGCAATTATCCAAGACCAGCCCACTTGAATTTTATAATAACATCCGAGGGTTGAAGAGGGACTGCTGAAGTGGTTTGGGTATACAGAGAGGATGGAGAGGGATAAGTTGACAAGGAGAGTACAGTGGTCCCCCGCTTTTCGTAGTTCCCAGCAATCGTAAATTTCGCCAATCATAGGGGTATTTTCGTATAAACATGGATTCGCTTTTCATAGGTTGACTCGCGAGTCGTAGTTCATCCGGGACTCGTACCCATGGCGTGAGCCGAGGCAGCAGCTAGTCTGGCATTGTTTACAAGTGAGCGAAGGTCCCCTCACGTGCTCCAGCGAAATATTTCATAATATTCCATTTATTTTAGTGCTTGCAAGTACTAAATAAGCTACCAAGGCTCCAAAGAAAGCTCCTAGTGCCAAGCCTGTGGTGAAGAAGGTGAGAAATACGATTGAATTTAAGAAAACCATCATTGAACAATATGAAAGTGGTACAAGTGTGGCCAAACTGTCCAGGATGTATAAGAAACCCTACACAACCTTATGTTCCACAGTGGCCAAGAAAACGGAAATAAAGGACGCTGTTGTTGCAAATGGAGTAACTATGCTGACAAAAATGAGATCACCAGTACTGGAAGAGGTTGGGAAGTTATTATTGATGTGGATAAATGAGAAACAATTAGCAGGAGATACTCTTATGACTTCGATTATTTGTGAAAAGGCCAGGAAGTTGCATGAAGATTTGGTAAAGAAATTGCCTGCAAATAGTGGTGATGTGAGTGAAATTAAGGCCAGCAAAGGCTGGTTTGAGAGATTCAAGAACCGTACTGGCATACACAGTGTGGTAAGGCATGGTGAGGCTGCCAGTTCGGACCACAAGGCGGCAGAAATTTTTTTTTTTTTTTTTTTCAACAAGTTGGTCGTCTCCCACTGAGGCAGGGTGACCCAAAAAAGAAAGAAAATCCCAAAAAAGAAAATACTTTCATCATTCAACACTTTCACCACATTCACACATTATCACTGCTTTTGCAGAGGTGCTCAGAATACAACAGTTTAGAAGCATATACGTATAAAGATACACAACATATCCCTCCAAACTGCCAATATCAATATGTGCATGAATTCCAGGAGTACATAGAGGCTGAAGGACTGAAACCTGAACAAGTGTTCAATTGTGATAAAACAGGCCTCTTTTGGAAGAAAATGTCAAAGAGGACCTTCATTACACAAGAGGAAAAGGCAATGCCAGGATACAAGCCTATGAAAGACAGGCTGACACTAATGTTCTGTGCTAATACTAGTGAGGATTTCAAAGTGAAGCCATTACTAGTGTACCATTCTGAAAATCCCAGAGTGTTCAGGAAAAACAATGTTATGAAGAGTAAATTGTGTGTGTTTTGGAAATCTAATAGTAAGGCATGGGTCATGAGGGAAATTTTCGTCGAGTGGTTCAATGAAGTGTTTGGCTCTAGTGTGAAGGAGTATCTCCTGGAAAGAAATTGGATCTCAAGTGCCTGCTAGTAATGGACAATGCACCTGCTCATCCTCCAAACTTGGATGACCTAATTTTCAAGGAGTTTGGGTTCATCACAGTAAAGTTCTTGCCCCCGAATACCACTCCTCTCCTACAATCCATGGACCAGCAGGTTATTGCAAACTTCAAAAAACTCTACACAAAAGCAATGTTTCACAGGTGCTTGACTGTGACCACAGACACTCACTTGACCCTAAGGAAATTTTGGAGAGAACACTTCAGCATCCTCCATTGCATAACCCTTATAGGTATGGCTTGGGAGGGAGTGACTACCAGGAATTTGAACTCTGCCTGGAGAAAACTGTGGCCAGATTGTGTCGACAAGTGGGATTTTGAAGGATTTGGGACTGACCCTAATGAGCCTATGTCTGTTGTAAAATCAATTGTGGCACTGGGGAGTTCCATGGGGTTGGATGTGAGTTTGGAGGATGTGAAAGAATTGGTGGAAGACCACAAT